AGCAGCTTCCGCCCCGATATCCGCACCTCTAAACTACCAATTTAACAGTGACAAACAACTAAAAAAGAAAAACAGCTCATAGACAGAGAGAGAGTGAAGGTGCAGCCACAAAAGTTCGCATCTGCACGTAAGTTCCCAACTAGCCAGATAGACCTGGTGCTTGACCATTTGCAGGATTCAGCAGTATCTTCATCATTTGTTCTCGCTTATGCATATTCCAATCCCGTCCAATCACCTGTAAAAGGAGGCTGCCTTTCACACCGGCACTCGCAAGTTGACTGGGTGCATGCATACTGCTCCTGAATGCACCTGCCTAACTCCACAAACAAGTCACATAAGATTGCCCGGATCCAGTCAATAAGGTGTGCAAGACTATATGCGGAGGGTGTGCTACTCTTCAGCTAGAGGGTTCAGGATCGCGTAGAGCAACTTCTTCTGTAACTGTTACATGGGAGGCGGTAGTTCGTGAGAGTTCAAGTCCGTCGGGTTTTGACGCAGAAAAATAGCTTCTTATGGCTCGCTCTCTCAGCAGCGGGGTGCCGGTGAGGACAGTGGCCATTAGGGTGCCGCCGCTACCCTTCTACCCTCGCACAGACCCCAAAGAGTTCACCAGCCTCAAAAGGTACTAGAGCAACTTCATTGCAGCTTCCGCCCCGATATCCGCACCTCTAAACTACCAATTTAACAGTGACAAACAACTCAAAAAGAAAAACAGCTCATAGACAGAGAGAGAGTGAAGGTGCAGCCACAAAAGTTCGCATCTGCACCTGATGAGGTTTTCTGTACTCGCACTGCCTAGTTTCGACAAGCCTTTCTGCCTAGCAGCCTATGCTGGTGACACAGCAAATTGTGACAATGCTCATTCAACAAACAAATAATTCGAAAAAGCACCAAATTTCCGCTTGCTAATTAAAATCGTCTCTCGGCAAGACGTCAGCAGAACAACCATGCAGGCGGGTCTCGGCATAACTTCTGTGGAAGTCCCTCCACTGTTCAAATCGATTGTCAATCGTTGACACACGTGGAAAAGAGTTTTCCATACTCCAGTAATGAACGAGGTGTTCGGTGGCTGTGCGGGCTCACGCGCTTCGACTTCAGCGTGAAATGAATCAAGGGCTCACTACCGTGGTCGCCTACTCTCTCACACTCTACCATTCGGACACTGTTTTCTACGTATCCCTTTGTGTGTGTTGATTCCGGTCTGATTTTGGAATTGTGCTCACCCAACGCATTAGACACTCGTGCGGCTCCAGTTATCCCGATGCTCGGCAGTAGGCTACGGGAGAAGCCATACAGTATCGGCGGGGATCTCCGGTGGTACCAAAAAAAGCCTATGTTTGGCTGATTGTACTCTCCAAATCCTAGTATCGGAGTTCTATGGAAGCATATGGTCATGCGTCAGCAAACCATATAGCTATCAATACAGCATTGAAACAAGGGACATGGCCCTTTTGGCAGCCTAGTGGAGTGTGCAGGATCCCAATATTGACCCTCGCGAATTTCCCGAAGTTCATAGCCATCAGTTCACCACGATCAGTTTGATATCGGGCTAGCGGAGTCGAAGTAGTAGTTCAGCGCAACTAACCACTCCAGGCACCTACGTAGGCAACTGAACTATCTCTTATAGGCGTGATAGACGCCCTAACCCCATAAATAGCATTCAGTTGTGACGACGCATTTGCGAGCATCTATGATTTTATCTCACTTGGAAGGAACTGCTGCTGCTGGTGCTGTTGGTGATTGCGCATTCTCCGCAGTGCCCCAGTGCACAGACGCATAGGACCGGATCCCTGGGAATTCAACATTTCCCTATATACATACGGTTCCATTCGCTTGCCTACTCGTTTTCGACTGCCCACCATGGCCATGCGATACTTCAATGGGTAGGAATTCACGGTTTAGCAGAGGACCCTCACGGGCAGCAAGAATCACTAATCTTGAACCGATAGTCACCGACACATGCTAACTTCAGTAGCAATCACGAGACCTCCAGGACCCTGTTGCAGTCTACGTATGTGCCTGGAGTGGCTAGTTGCGCATTGGACTGGTTCGGTGACGGGATACGCTTCATTTGTAGCACCCCGTTACCCGACCCTTGCTGCAAGACGACCGAACAAGGAAACGTGCTGAAGCACATGCATTATTATCTTGTGTGATTTCTGAGTACTTACTAGGCATATGAAACTGCTAAGCATTTACTTTGCCATCGGCAGCCGCGTGTGAACAAGGAAAACTACACCCACCAGCTGCGGGCAGAACAAGCCACAGCGTGCTACAACAATGGTTTGGGCTGGCTAACAGCGCAGTTGCATTCCTTCCCACAAATACTTGTGACCCTTCGAAGAGCTTTAAATGCGAGTTGGCCTCTACTGTTAAGTCTCTGCACAACGCTCTACACAGCAGCGATCAACGGAGCTTTAGCTCGTGCAGGAGTCCCACCACACAGGCGTCTGCCTTCATGCGCATGAAAAAATAGGTAGCATTCGCTCTTGTCCTATCGTCGCGTATACTTTCCCCCCTTTCTATTAAAAACTACATAACTGGGCCTCCCCTGCCGAAACCAGTAGCCTGCTCCAAAGCCAAGCCCCTACACGAGCGATGTAGCCGCAGACGCAGCGGCAGCGGCGGCTGTACAGACGGTCCCAAAGATGTAGAGGAAGATAAGTAGAGATGGAATTGTTTGTAAACGCACTTGAAAACAGAATAATCAGCCATATGGCCTCAACTAGTAATTAAGCTACTTGAGACACTACCTGAGGCGTGAGCAGCAGCTGCTGGAGCAAGCAGCTGCTGCTGCTGAATTACGCAGGCCCCGAGCAGCAGACTATTCGGTGGGGGCCCCTTCCCCTTTGATGCCCTGATTTACCGCGTATTTTCATTGACTTTCTCGTTATCTAGGGGCCCTTTATTCCCAGCAGACATAGGGACGACGTACGCCCGGTTATTTTCCACCCTAGCAGCAACTGCATGCGCCGCGGCAGCTGCGCCAGATACTGCAGCTTGAGCAATAACGGCAACAGGGAGTATATATTTATGCGCTGCAGACGAGGTCTTCGAAGGTCATTGGCATCTTTCTTCGTTTGGAGAAGTGTCGACGGACCCCCCTCACTCTGAGGGTTGGGGGGGCGCTGGTTGTTGTCTGCTGCTACCGGCGCAGCTGCCACATCGCGTATAGGCTTCCCCGTGTGGACTTCCAGTTAGCTGCAACACATCAGAAAGCCATGAGGGGTAGAGCCTTCGGCGCCCCTCGCCCTCAGCTGTGACTTCAGCAGCACCAGCTGCTGACGCAGCAGCCGCAACAGCAGCCGCAGAAGCAGCCACAGCAATAGCGATGGAGCTGCCGCCGGTGCCGCCTGAATTTGATGCTCTTGCGGATGACTTTATTTCTGCACTCGGTACAATCCTCTGTAGCATTTGGAACGGGTTGGGAAGAAGGGGACTGTGCAGTAATGCGGCTCCGGCCGTTTTAGAGTGTCACCACTATTGGAGCCTGCGTGAATGTGTGCGTGCGCTTTCCAGGCCCCAATGAGGAGCGGTCGAGAGTTCGGGCGGAGGCATTTGAGCACCTCCGCGCTGCCATTCTCGAGGCCTTCACAGATTTTAGGGTCCTGTGGCGGCAGCAGCAGGAATTACAGGAACAGCAGAGAGAGCAGCATCTCTTGCGGCAGCACCATCAGCAGAACCCGCCCACGCGCGGCGGAGAACAGCAGGAGCAGCAGGAGCAGAAGCTTTTATCTCCGCTGGAGCAGTTGCGAAAGGAGAAGCAGCCACAGGCGACGCTGTGGGAAGGGCAGCACAATGTGGCGCAGCAACCGGGGGAGCAGCAGCAGGATGGAAAGCAGGAAGATGATGCTGCGACGGGAAGTCATGAACAAGTGCCTTCTAGCAGGCGACAGTTTTTGGGAGCAGATACAGTACTGCTCCCACCGGAGGTCCTGATGCATGACCATGATCAAGAAAAGAAGCAGGAGCAGCAAAGGGGAGCTCAGCAACAACAGCAGCAGCAGGAGCACGACAAGCGTCTCTATAGAGGAACTTCAACTTGCTGCAGGGCCCGCACGGACTCGCCCTCTTCTTTTTTCTCGGTGTCTTCATCTCCTTCGCCCACCGCAACGGGAGCAACGCTAACGGGAGCTGCTGCAAAGGCAGGAGCAACAGCACCTGAGTGGCGCCCAACGCCGTCATCCAGTCTAGAGTTTGAGAAGGCAACAGTGCTTCCCTCTTCGTTTCATGCATCAGCAGATGACCCCAACAGTAGGAGTAGCAGTTCAGGCCTTGGCGTCAGCAGAGTGGCAGGCAACAGCAGCGGGTGTAACACATCGGGCAACGGCGCAAGTAACAGCAGCAGCAACAATGGCAGCACAAGTAGCAATAGCAGCAGCAGCAGTAATAGTAGCACTACTAGCTCAAGCGGAGCCAGCAGCAGTGTGCGGTGTTTATCGGACATATGTGTGGCTGTTCTGCGTTACGGTTCTTTTCCGTTACTCACTTACCTGCCCGACGGAGATTTGGATGTGGGAGTTATAACATTTTCTCCAGAGACAGGGGTGGTAGAAGGCGAAGAAGAAAGCGAAGCTTTTCTGGTTTATCTCCACCTCAGATTTAGACGAGGTGACCTGAAGGTCGAATCACAGGGGGAGAGCTCAGACCCCCCCTGCGGGGATCCAGTAGGATCCGGGGGCCCTCGGGGCTCTGGGACACGGGGCTCCAGAGGGCCTCGCATTCGCAATGTCCACTTGGTAAAGGCAGACGTGAAGATTTTGAAGCTTGAAGTTGACAGTCTGGCTGTGGATTTGTCGGTGAACAAGGTGAGTAGCTGTAGAGTACAGCAATAACAGCACGGTCACAGAGAGTTGTGCAGCGACTGAGCATCACGGACACGGGCGACAAGACAGAGGCGCACACAGAGGAAGGCAGCGCAATTGTACGAATGTGAAGTCGTGTGGAAAGAAGAGGCCCTGAGAGTTTGTACCGTATGCCTGTAGATCAGTTTGCGGTTTGCCTCACAGGTAGGAGGCTGTTGTTCATTAGCCCTTCTGGAACTCCTCGATCGCCGCATTGGGCGCTTTCACCTCTTTAAGCGTTCGGTGATCCTCGTTAAGGTGAGGGAGGCTCTTGTTTGTTGCTGGATGGGTTACTGGCCACGGGTTGCTCCGGCTTCTTCAAGGGGTATCGGTACTGCCTTGGGCTGCTTCATGCTGCATCATGCTGCATGGTCCAGTGCGCGAGCACAAGAGATACGGACTTCTGTGGTGGGGGCGTCTTTGCTGCGAATTTGCTATATTTTCCATCTGTTGAATGTCGGCTGCCCACATGTTAAGAGCGTTGGGTCTGCTTCGGCTTCTTCAACTTGCGGTGTTGATCTGTTTCTTCCTTCTTCTGTTGCCTCCCAGTAACGCTTTTTAGTGCGAGATTCACGAATGTCGCGGATTATAGCGTTTTATGCGTTCATTGTGAATGTGTCCTAGGCCTGGATGGCGTACGAGAGCCATTTACTGGGTAGTCGATCCGGCCTCCTGGCATCCTACTGCCTGGAGGTACTGGTGTTGCATCTCTTTTCCTGTCTCCCGCCATCAAAGCTTCGAAGCCCCCTTCAGGTCTTGCAGGCTTTCCTCTCCTACTTTTCTAGCTTTGATTGGGCAGCCTTTGCTGCGACTGCGGCGGGGCCTCTCCCTTTGTGGCTTTTGCGCCTAGCGAACCAGCAGCAGCAGCAGCAATTATTGCTGCTACAGAAGCTGCAGCAGCAGGGGTGTGAACCTCAGCAGCAACAGCTGCAGCTTCAGCAGATGCCGTTCTTGAATGAGCTGTTGGAGATATCAGAGCAGAGCAGCGGTAGCCAGAGAGACGGAGATCCGCGACTCGAGCGTCTGGCCTTCGTCTCGCAGCACATTCACCCCGAGAGGGGATTCTCGAGGGAGATTGTCACAATACACGTTTGCAAGTGTATCGCGAACTTTGCCTTTGTAGAAGAATGCAGAAGACGGTGAGTTCGGTATCCTATTCTAGCACAGGGGCGAACGAACGTCATGGACACACACCCAGGCAACTTGTGACTGATGGGACAGGCCCGAAAATGCATAGATTGGCGGAGACAGAAGATGACAAATACGAAGAAAATCATTGGGGCGGGAGCATGCTTGTCAAGGGTGGGCAGGGGGTCTGCTGCCTTAGACGAACAATTGCACAACAAGCGGTAGCTGCACAAATTTAGGACCGCAAGCAAGAGCTAACAGGCTTACACACTGTTTAGGCAAAACGGTAGACTTGGCCAGGAGGGTACATAGCATCGCACTGCTTGCATAGAGACAGCGCATGCCTTTCGGAGACGGACCTCGACAACCATTGTTGCCCATTGCACTGGAGATAGGCCGGCAAATAATGGAAGAATTCACACAGGTCTTGAGAAGTGCTTGTGGGCTTATCGTGATTTTCTTTGGATTGGCGTGACTTTCACTGTGTCGCTTGAACTGGTGTCCCGTTCTGTACTCCCGAACTGTCCATGCCATATTTGCCTCCCTTGTGTATTTTTCATACTAGTACCTTTCTGGCTTTCCATGCTTTCGTTTGACATCAGGGAACACGAAATACAGAAGTGGACGTAGCCCGCAGTGTTCTGCGCTGTTACGGTACCGGTGTTTTGTGCAGGTTCCGCATGTGCTACGGAGGCATGGGGGGCCCGTCACGTTTTTCAGGGACTTCCCGGAGTGGGCAGGCCTTTGGCTGGCCGGAACCCAACTCCCCCACTGCGTTCCACAGCAGCAGTAGCAGCAGTGGCAGTGGGCGCGTCAGCGCCCCGACGACTCCCATGAGCCGGTGGTCTCAGCAGAGCGGGCGGGGCACTGGGAGCCCATGTGTTCCTCCTTACCATTCGCGCCCGGCGCCTCGTTCTGGTGGTGCTGGAGGCTTCACACTTCGGTGTATCAATGTAGTGGATCCACTGTTGAATACAAACAATTTGGGGCGGAGTGTTAGTGAGCCTGCTTTCATTAGGCTCGTGGATGCTCTAAAGAGGGGGCATGCCACTCTCACCGCAGTGCTGCAGCGGGGCGACAAAGGAGCCTTCCAGTCCCTGGTGTTCAAAAACAGTTATAGCTATCTGCAGCGACTTCGACACGAACAGGCCCAAGAGCCACTGATCAAGCCGCTCATCCTCCTCCGGCTCAACAGAGGACCCTCCCAGTACCCTCGGGTGGCCCTTGAAGATGACAGGGTACCTTGCCCTACTAGGGACCCGTATGCAGAGTTTCTAAAATGTCTTCATTCGAAAACAGGGGCACCGTTGGAATTGGGTGAAGCGCAGAGTCCTTCGGGACAGTGTGTGCATTCGGAATTGTCGTCACGAGGCCCTCAGGGGGTTACCAGCTCGGCAGAGTCGCAAGGCAAAATATCAGAGGGTGCCGAAGATGGACAACACACTGACGGGGGCGGGAAGGAAGGGCTTATTAGGTCCCCGGAATTCGAGGAGCCCGCACGTTGCCCTCGCGCAGCGGCAAATCACTCACCAGGCCAGCAAGAGCAGCAACAGCACCAGCAGCATCAACGCCAAGATCAATCAGGGCACAACATTAATTTGCAGCTAGCTGACGAGGAGTTAAGAGGTCTGTTGGCGCTTTGCCAGCTTTTGTGCAAGACACCAGGGGAGGGGAACAATTCTGGGGTCTCTCCAGCAGCGGCACGTAACGGGGGGGCCCACCACGCGTGTGCATCTCTAAACGCGTTCGGGTCGCGTCTTTGCATTTGTAGCCATCAGAATGCTACCCCTGCAACAGTAGCAGAGGAGTGTGCTGTTCCTCCGTCAAGCAGCAGTGAAGCATCGGCTGGGATGGCGGAAGAAGCTTGGGTCGGGGGCTCGACAGGGCAGACGCCGGGTCTTTCTGAGGCAACGCTACTTCCTATCGAGGCAGCAGCTGCAGCGGAAGCAGCCATTACAATTCAGATCCTCCTTCCATATTGCACCAGAGGGTGTAGGCGAAACAGCAGCGCTGGCAGTTATGCCAACGATGTGAGGACCGCTGGCGGCCCACCGTCTATAGGATCACCTAGGAGTGCTTGTAGTCTAGGGCGCACCTCGTGGGACACTCGGGGAGGAGGGCATAGGATGGGAGGGGAGGGGGTTCCACGAGGCTCCAGAGGTTCTTACAACGACCGCCTGAGGAGAGCCCACCCTTTTTCCCTCATGCGTCATAGGGCTGGCGGGGGGAGGAATTCCCTGCAGCATCAGCAGCAGCAACACCTCCTCTTGCAGCATCTGCAGCATCATCACCCCATGCATGCACTCCCTCCAAGTCGAGACCCGTACTGGCAATCGGCGCGGCCATTCGCAACCCAGGGGACGTTGATTGGAGCTCCCTTGGAGGGGCCGTCGCCGGCTACAGCAGCGGCCCCCCAGGGGCCCAGTGGCGTGTCTCATTGGCGTGGAGAAGATAGTAACTCGCCTTCTATTGTTGGTGCACCTGCTGGAGAGGGATCCCCGGCTGGAGGAGTTGGTAGGAGACGTGCGCATGGAGGAGTTGCCCGTCAAGGGTGCCAGGGGAGCGCCGGCAGCTCTGCCATCTATCAACAGGGCCGCCATATCACAGCATTTTCGCCAATGGTTATAGCAAGGGGGCAGCCACCGCAGCACGGCCGAGGGTACGCCTCGAATTCAGGTGTTGGGATGCCCCGTCCCATGGAGTCAAAAGAAGCAGCAGGACTGCCGAGGAAGTCTCTTGGATGGAACCAGTACGTTCCTTTGGGGGGACCTGGTGAGCTGCAGCGCGATCAGACTGCCACCAGGCATGCTGTGGTTTTTAATGAGGAGCGGAGATGCAGTAGTAACAGCAGCAACAGCAGCATCAAGAGCAGCGTCGCCGACTCCAGAGTTCCCAGAGAACGGTGTGAGGGACCTGTTGCTTCAAGACTCGGACAGCAGCAGCTGCTGCATCAGCAAGATTCTCCGACCACGGGGGGCTCCCACGTTGCACCACTGAGTGGGCAACAACGGCCCGCAAGTCCTCCTACACCTACAGGGAAGCAGCAGGACCAGCAACAACGGCACCGTGGAGGGAACCGTGTTGAGCAAGGGGATGTCCGGGCCTCTGTTGCTAGCGACATCTCGGAAGATGTGGGGGAGAGCGGGCCGACCAGGAGTGTCCGTAGGCGCTCTGGTGACTGGACCTTCAATGCAGTTGCCAGCAGCAACAGCAGCAGGAGCGTGCAAGCTGCAGGCATCAGAACACCTCACAGGGTTCCACAGCAGCAAGCTGATGCTCAAACACCGCAGTGGGGGAATGAAGGCGGTGTGTCAGGGACTCCGCCCACCCCGAGCAGCTGGTCGCGCCAGCATCAGCTGCAGCAGGGAGGGAGCCACCCCCGTGGTGGCATTTCGCTCCCCTTAAGGAACACCAGAGGAGGGGCCAATAATGCGGTGCTGCAGGGTTTGGGGTTGCATGTGGCGACACCTTCTGCTGCCCCGAGTAGAGTTGCTCGCTTTCGCGATTCCGGCCCAAGACACGGGGGGACCCCAGGGGGTCCTACATGGAACATCCCAGAACCGCCTCAACAACCCCCGCCACCGCCCCCTCCTCCGCCTGTCACTCCGAGTGGGGCGTTGACAGGCGTAGAAGCTCAGGCGGAAGGTCCTCGAGGGCCTACGCATAGGCGTAACTGGGCTGCTGTTGTAGGGGCTCCCGCTTCTGGAGTGTCGACTTCTAGCGGGGGCGCTCGAGCCCGGGGCATCCCTGCTTCCCCGCCTGCAGCAACAACAGCAGCTTCTGGTGCTGCTCCTCCTGCAGTCCCCCGCCCGGCCTCGGCTGCAGCTGGGCCATCATCGCCGTCTGTCTCAAGAGAAAATATTTCCCAGAAATCCTCCTCAGAAGGGCATGCCCGCATCGGGGGTTCAACGGATGACGCTGTAGAGGCTTCGTCGGCAGCAACAGCAACGGCAGGAACACTAGGAGCTTCTGTAGAGGGCTGTTCGCAACATTCTGAATGCCCATTACCATCCAGGGGATCTGCGGAGGTCAGGAAATCGACGCCTCAGTGGGGTACACCGTCTAATGTTGGGGCATCTGCTCAATACCCTCAGAGCAAAGCAGCAACTTCTAAGTGGGCAGGTGGTGGCCCCTCGGGTGGCTCGCGTGCGGCCTTTTGGGGACCTCGCACAAGCACGCAAAGCGCAGATGGGACCTCTGGGTTGCCGGAGCAGGCGCAGCAACAGCAGTGGGATGGTTCATCTACACCGCCTTCGAGAGGCCACTCCTGGGCAGGCGACTCAACTGGACTCTGGCGACCGGGGCCTCCTTCCTCTGCGGACCTATCGGGTGGAGGGATCGCCGCTGACGGGCGTTCTCATCCGCCTTGGGGGCAGTCTGCGTCCCCTATTCCAGAGCGAGGCCTTCCAGCAAAACAACGGGAGACTCCATCTTTAACCGGCGATTTGCTCTCCCTTAAACTGGAGGATATAGCGCTCCTCAGCGCAGCTGACAAGGCGAAGGCCTTGCTTGTGGCCAAGCAGCAAGTCGCAGTCCTGCAGGATGAGGCGGAATGGCGGGTGAGTCTTAGGAAGTTGAGGCGTGCATTTCTTGCTGGTCCACTGCGGGTGCCGCTGCTGATTCAATAGTGCCAGGCAACCTCACGTTTGCGCCGGGAGTGCAAAGTGAATTAATCTACCAGTGGTCAAGTGTATTTATTATCTGAGTGCAGACAGCCACGAGTAAACGGGAGCGGAAAAAGTCCTCAGCCTCGGGAAGACATGCAAAGACCCAATTGGCGCATTTGCTTGCGGTGCAACAGGTGACTAGCCAACCCCCCCATATCCCCTGATGTCCCTTCGAGTGCACAACCGTTGCGGGCCCAGACCCATATAGCGGTTGCCAGTGCTGTTACCGTCTGTTTTTGTTTGCTACAGCTGCTGCTTCAACAACAGCAGACACACCAGGAGGATGCGGAGGCCACAGCTGACGGGCAGCAAAGACCCACCCAGACAGACAGCTTAGAAAGCATCAACGAAACACGAAATTTGGGTGCCGGAGTGGTGAACTCCACGGGTCAAAAGACTGGCCCTAGAGCTGCCGAAGGGGCAGCAACCAGCGCGGCAGACATTCCATCTTAAGCTAGTGCCTGAGTGCTCTGGATATTGAAGCAGCAGGTAGGGCTGAAAGCCATCTTCCGGGGTATACTGCTCTTCCGCTGATGCCGCCAGTGCCGATGCAGGTATTAGCAGCCCAATCGTTACCAACAGCATTTCCGTAGGTGGCTTGGTGTGTAACGGTGGTTTGAGGCCAACAAGCTTATTATCTGTAGGAGAATTCCTATGCTTGCTGGTCACTCGCCTTTGTTCCTTGCTGTGACTAGCTGAAGCCATTGCCATTCCTTCGGTTGCAGCAACAGCTGCAGCCGCTTAAGTTTCACTAAGAGTTTTTGAAGAGGAGTTTTTTTTTTTCTGAGGAGGAGGCTGTCGTGAGGAGTTCACTGTTAAATGGGACAATTATTTCCGTTTAATTTTTCTGCATTCTGCGGGACCTTTCAAGCCCTTTGTACCGTTTACGCTGAGACTGGAACAGTGCGCTACACAGCTATCAGCGGCACGCTAGCTGCGAACCTACGTGAGGGCAACTGTTCTAATTTCAGAAGTCTAGAAGCAAACTCAACATTCTGGCGATCTAACCCTACTAGTACGGACGGACAAGGATATGGGTCTTCCCTGGAAAAAAGGCAATGAAGCAAAAGGTTTTCAGGGTGAGAAACCCCGCCAATTTGTAGAAAGTAGTTATTACGACCTTAAGGGAAACAGACGGCTAGAGAGCACCAACATAGGAACTTTGGGTGCCAGATGCAATTCTGCGGATCGGCTGCCTGCCGACTTTACATTTGGAAAACACTATAAATCAGTGGCAACCATGTGAATACGGTCATGAAATTAGCACTGGCACGCACCAAGCATCTGCGTTAAAATAAGGTTGATGCTCTTAAGAGGATGGGGCCGTGGGGTGCAAGAACTCGCAAAACCTTCACTCAAAATGGTGCGAGTCCGCTAGTTTTCGCGGAAGCTGTGCACCGGTTCAGCGCAAAGAGATACTGCGCCATCGTTTATATACTTTGTGGACCTTCTGTGCGAATTCTATGGGAGGGGTGTGACTGTTCGCCTCTCCAGGAAAGCACATAACCACGCTTTCGAGAAATCCCAAATCTCGACAAAAATTCATGTATATGTCAAACATAATACGACAGTACACCCTTGAGACTGAACAGCCGTTGCTGTACCAGCGGATAAACTGGACAATGTATGGAATTGACTACGTGCCAAGGCTCACCCAGAGTGGCCTGCACGGATGGAGAAATGACTCTAGAAAGCCAAGGCTATATACAGACCAACCCCAATAGCGACGGCAAGCACTATAGTTGAGAGCGACCCCATGCGGGCTTTCTCAGACATGCGGGTAACGGACATGGAACAATATATGAGAGTCAGAGTGCCGACCCACCCAAGGGTGAAAGCAAGCAAAAGCTGAAGAATCATTAGCCACGCAAAATTGTTAATAAATGGAGTGTTTTCCATCTTCATTGCCATACAGAAGGGGATGTAAAACACAAGGCGAATAAACGACGCGGCAATCGTGGCGTTGCGCGAAAGGAACAAGAAACTGAATATCCGGTGCAAACTCGTTAGTTTGAGGCACGAACGGCCAAGGAAATCTCCAACAAATTGCATTCCAAAAAGTAGAACCATCTTCGATGGACCTTTTCCTTCAAAATTGAAAGATACGGGACCGACCTTCGGGAAAAGAGAAAAAGTGATGAAGAAAACAAGAAACAGGCTTAACAGCTCCCAGAAAGAACCCCGCATCATCGTCAGCCAGGGCCTCGGCGGCAAAAGCGATTCGTCCAGAGTACCGCTAGATGCACTATTTTGGCGTCTCTTTGGCTCCTCAAGGTCGGCTGCAATTGTAGGTGTATCATCTTGCGTTGCCTTTCCATCGGATCCGCCATTCAATGCATTGTTTACAGACTGAACACAGACCTTTGCATTAAGGAAAACGTGCATGTAGACGATTGATAGGATGCACATAACCACGGAAATACCGCAGCAAATACAGCTGAACCACTTGACGTCGTTAACGTTGTCCATGTCGAACACGCCGTTCATAAGAATGGCAGTAACGACGAAGGCTACCAGGCCAGCAGTTGCCTGCCCTATCGAAGTCGTGCCCACATAGTTTCTTGGAAGAATTGCCGCCCTTGCAAACCCAGCGGCTTGCAAAGCCGCGTTGCATGTACCTAAAAGACCGAGAATAATGTGAATTAAAGCTATGCGGCAGGCAACGGGACCGTAGAAGAACGCCGGAGAGAACGCTCCCATGCACACTAGAGATAACACAAGCCCTCCCTGAATGAGCCAGCCATGAAGAGCTCCTACTTTGAGAATTATAAGGAGAGCTATAACGCAGAAAAGCTGGTACATGCCCAGCATGGAGTTGCCCAGCTGCTTCCCATCCAGAAAGTGGTGTGAGAGGACGGGCAACATGACAGCAACAAACTGAAATGGAATTAAAGTCATCAATCCAGATAAGGCGCAACCGGTTGCAGCCATCCAGTGTTCCCGACGCGTCATCTCTTCACCCCGCTTTGGGGAGGCGTCGGTGGGGCGATTCCCAGCAACCTCAGTTTCCGCTGCCATCGTATTGAATGGAGCAATTAAAAAGGAAAAAAAAATCCCAAAGAAAAACCGATTTAAAAGTATTAATTGCAACTATTTTGGTGCTATCGGTGAACACTGAGTTTGGATTCGGGGCACTCTCGAGGCAAGGGCGGGGGGCGTTGCAACACCACCTGCGACCGTGCACCATCGGTGGGCCCACTGCTGTTCTAAAACATGCAAAATTCCTCACAATCATCTTAAAAGCAAAACCCAGATGTTGTGCGTTTAGATACAGAATGTATAAATGGGGGGATAAACTTCCTACTTTAGGTGATTGCCGGCAGCTTCCAAGACCTCCTTCCTTCGGTACGGTCGAGTTGGATAACTCCGATTGTTCTGTATATTTGACAGGTACACTTGCCTCTGCAGCTGCTTCCTTAAATTTCACCTCCCTCTGCTAAATCCACTTGCCGCTTTTGTTGTGCCACCCCATTTTATGGTGTCTTTTTCGCTACCACGTGTTTTCTCACACTGCCAGCCCCATCCAGCACGTCCACCTTACCCCACTCCGTTTGCAGCGTGTTCTGCCAGATGTTCTGGCCTCTATTCGTACTTCTTGTTTAGTTCAAGCTGGCTGCAGATGTCCACGTACGCCTTTAATATTAGTGTTAATGTTTGCACCTGGAGAAGAGCTGGTTATTCTTTAATTTGGTGCTTCCAGCAAGTTGCAACCCGGTGAATTGCAACTGGTGGGGGGCCACAAGCTGTTCCGCTGCAGAACCACGCACTAGGGCACCTATTCTCAGAACATGGAGACACGTGGGGGGTGGTCGGCCTGTGGGGGGGAACATATATCTAGTTTTTTGGACGTTTCTGTAATAGAATGTAGTAATGTAATGTAACGGACGGGCATAGCATAGCCTTTCCGCCGTTGGCAAATCTGTCTACTGATGTCACATTAACTCTGAATCCGGGATACAGGTGTACATGCAGGAGTCTTCAACAAATCTGTACAGTCTTAGTGCATACATTCGCGAAGATTTGCCTTTCCTTGCATATGGGGCCACCTTGCACCGTGACGGTCGCCAAGGTGGTGCAACTCCTGGCCTCCTATGCCCAGTGGCAGCTGCATCCACGTGGCCTGCTGCGTTTAGGATGATATGAGCCTTGCGAGGGGGCCGGCTACTCTAAAAAACTTAAGCATTTTGGCTTCCCTGCAGCTCCCAACAGCCCTCGGGTAAGGGCGACGATTTATCGAACTTCCTTAAGGGGGGTTGGAAGCGGCAGTGGAGCTGAAACGTTTAAAGTAAGAGTTACCTAAAAGCATCTGACTTCCATCCCCCACCGGGAGTCCTGTGCAGAGCGGCTAAAGCACCCCACAGGAGTGGAGTAGCACCGCACCTTCCTGCATCTCCAGAGGGAAGATAACCCCAAGGGCAAGCACAGAGATTCCATACGTGTTTCAGGCCCGAATGCTCCAGGCAATTATTGAAGATATCTTCCAGGCTGCAGGTTGCCTTCTATGGCCTAGTAAGCGTTCACGTGCCAATCAGTGGGGGGCTTGGCAACAGCGAAGACTAAGCCCCACATAGGCTCATCATGGTGTTTGGATAGGGTTAAGGACCTCCACTGCCATTCCTGGCATCGGACGGTTCCTCGGTCCAGAAACAAACGGCAAAACGTTCCATATCTGCGCAGCGCTTTTCATAGTAATGATTAGTTGTGAAGTCTTGGTGGAATATCACCTGTGTGCTGCCCCCAAAACCTTTGTTACAAAATCGGGTTTCACCTTGCAAAACGATACCTATCAGTACGTGCATCTGGGTGGCGATACTACCGAACGCTAGGCGCCTCGTCGCATTGGAATGTGCACACTATTTGCAGACTCTAAATTCGAAAACTCCCCTGCCGCGGAACAAATATGTGAACAAGGGCCCCACCTTTGCCGCGAATCACAATACGAAGGGCATCCCGGTGAAATTGCACCGAAAAAAATTTCTTGCCTATGTAAAGGGGTAATTTCGTCTGTAGAGTACACTGAGTACGCTATAGTTGCAATTGGAGAGGCAAGCGAGTGGTAGCAATATCTAGGACACTAACATCACCGAGGATAGACGGAGTATGCAAGCACTTCGAATTTCATCGGGCACGGTGGGCCACGAAGGACGCGCGGAGTGTACGTCAACTTTTCGTAGCACGGCTCTCTTCTGGAAAAGCGCGATCCGTAAGTACCTAGACGAAGAGCGAACTACAGCCCTGAAGGTGTTTTGCTGCTTATACTCAATAAGGTTGGAAAGTGCGAGAAGCTGCGATGATGGACCGTTTCCTCAACAAAAATAGGAGAACACTCCTTTTCCCGCTTCAAGTATGAACGAATAAACAAAATTTTATAATGATCCGCATGTAGTGCCCATTGGTATAAATACAGGCTGCAGATGCCAGTTTCTTTGGAAAGGGAGGGCTAGCAACAACCAACGGCGGCAGGCGATTGAGGGAAACATTTGATTCCTCCGCAGGAGACAAGACACATTGTTCCACTCACCTGTACGAAAAAGGCAAATGTCCCGGGAAAGCATGGGTTGGAGTAGGGGAGGCACACAGAATATCACAACGAAGTTTGTTGTTTTGAGGAGCCCGCGGGAAGTGAAGTAACATGATGGGCCCTGAAAAGGCGACAGCCCCACCTGCAAATCCTCATCGGTTGCGTTGTGTACTTACTCAAGCTCGTATTGATTATCGGTAACTGTTACGTCACACATGCTGCGATCCAGATTCGGTAGACACAGTTACGGCGAGGAGCCGTAGGATAGTTGTTTGCTCAGATGTGCAATCTTTGCGACTTCTTTTCATCGACGATACAACGGAGAAGAGAATTGCTAAAACTAAGGGATAAAAAGCCAAAGCCCATTTAGGCAATGGCCATGAAAAGAGATTTTACGTTGGACTGTTGCGCTACGACAAAGGACCCGTGGGGTGACTCTGTGCGTCTTCCAGAAGACAATGCTACAGTAGTCGCGCTCATAAGCTCATACGCAAGGGCAAAGCGAGCTTACTAGTGTTTACAACAGCATTTCCTTTGCTTACCTCAAGTAGAGAAGAATCAGTGCTCCAAGCAGAACAGAAGCTAGAGGCTCCAACGTTGTGCGACAGCGCTGCCGTAGGGGAAGAAGGAATGCATGGATCCACTCTTACGATGGCAACAGTTTTGAGGATTGGATACACTTAACACTTATAAAAGAGCTAAATTGGGGAAAACTGATGGGAACGCCACCACACATTCCACTTAACAAGGATGTGCTAGAGGGTCAGCAACCCACTGCACAGCCATTCCAGTGGGCCTTAAATGAGAGCTCTAGAGGTCTATCCTACAGACAATATGGATATTAAATAACTAGAAATCAATCAGTTTACTTTATACAGGAGTTAAGGCCACCAAGGTAAGAGTGTTCGGCAGCCTCATAAGGTTGGGACTGAAAGTGAGGCTAACACGGCAGCTGAGAAACTCACTCAGTGTGGGTTCAGAGTATGTCAGATTTACCCTTTTTCTAGCTCTTTTGAGGATGGAACTCGAATATGTACGGATAGCTGTTCTTGCTAATGTCCGGATGCTCTAGGCAATATTAACTGCGTGCTGCATCTAGATGTTGAGTGTGCACGCCATAGGTGTACATAGTAGGTATACGTTCTTGCAGCAGATAGCGTTATTGAATACAAGCAATCCACTGAGCACCCTATCGGCGGTCGGGTGCGCCCAGCCCGTCTAAGTACCTATAGCAAGCCCTTCTATCTAGTACAGCTGCTAGAGAGTCCTTACTGTTGCAAATTTCATCAAAAAAGGGGTAAGTAGGCCTTCTTCTGGCCATCTACCGAGTTGCACTCAGAGCCGAGAAAAAGGTTTTTCACGTCCTCACTCCACTTACTGCCTTCCCTATGAAGCAGCAGCAGTTGTGTGGCTCAGGTCTGGCAACCACAAATTCACACGTGAGCGTGCCTACCTTGCGCATCTGCTCAGATCTATCATCTCCATTTTCCTACAGTGTGCTCTTCCTAAAGTTGTCCTGCGCTTTTTTTCAAGTTTAATTCTGTAAGTGCAGCGCAACACAGGACAGCTGCAGAAATACAAGCCAGTGGCAGCTAGTGAAGAAGATGTGAGGGCATAAATGGTTCGCTTGAGGTATTTGGTCCAAGTTCGGTACAGAAGGCATCGTTGGGGGGTGTGCAATGAATTGACTGCTTTACGCATGCAAGGTGCATGGGGGACGGTGACGGCAAACGTACTCAGCTGCATAACTGCCTTTCAGTGGAGAGGCTGCAAAACGTTAAAGGCAAAGCGGAAGCCAATCTGAAAAACTAGTGCAGTTATCTGGCAAAGAGGATTACACCAACAAGGTTTCCCATATTCATCCCATATGAAGTGCGCAGACATGAAGTTATAGCTAGAGGCCCTAGCAATTGAAGCATATTCACACGCAGCCATAGCGGAAGTAGATACTAAATGCCTCGTGCTTCGCGGATTTTCCCTACAATGCTCGGCTTGGGCATTAGCCAGCCTTTGCTACTTGAGGGGCCAGTTTTCAACGACCGCGATGATAAAACTCCTTAACATTTACTGTTTTTAGCATATAGTGAGAATTATTTGTCCCTGCCTGTGAGCGCAGCTTGCATTGCTTGTTATAGTAGCGTTCCTGTGTTATCCGTTCTTTCCGATTATTAGAGAACAGCGCATTTTACGTGTCCTGCCACAGGTCAGTGCCTGTTGCTTCAGGCGGTTTCCCATTTAAACTCTCATTAACCTCCAGAGCTAGATCCTCCTACTGAGGGCCAAAGCACCACCTGGTGTGAGCTCACCGTAACCCAGTCTTCGAGATCGCATAAACTACGCTTGTTGGCTGTTACAGGTAATTACCGACCCCAATAATTTTATGCGAAATCGATAGTTCGATATGCGGATTCATTTTGAAAGCGTTTTCCTATGTACCGTATTTACTATTAATCAGGAGAGACGTCTGGGACCCTCCTGGCTTGAGCCGCAATTGCTGAGGTAACATGGTGGTTCTTAAGTGATCCACTTGCGTATCGGATAGACTAGCTGGTGATGAGTCTGGCATTCGTATGATAGTGGGGGAACAAACGCTCCCCATTGTACTATAGGAGGAGTGCCACCACATCCATCACAACCGGAAGTGTCGCAGGTAGGACTGTGCTTGCCCAAAAGGTTAAGCGGTGGTTGGGTGCACCCAAGTCTATGGATGTCCGGAGGGACGATAGCCAAGCAGTGATCGGTTGGTCGTATAGCGGCCTAGGTGTGCTGCTTTTGTATATTTGCCAACGCCCCATAACTTCGTCGCGCGCTTCGATATGGCACGTAATCCACCCGGTTTTTATGCGAACTCTTACCCAATACCCATCGGAACAAGTTCCTGTTTATTCCGCTGAAACTTGCCCCCAAACTCCACTAGATATCCAATAATGCATTTCGGCTGCAGCATCGCCTAAACCCGGCACGGAGAACGGGCAAAAAACCTTGCGGGGATTGGAGGACTGTGTTGGCTGTTCTAAGGATCAGAAGTGTCATGTGTCTGTGGAGAATGGTAAGATAGCCATTTGGGGGCAGGAGGAGGACCAAAGACAGTGAAATACTTCTGCGTCACCAATGGTTAGCGCAAAGCGCCAACTCATGGAATTGGCCAGCTGGGAAAAAACGAGGAAACCCAAACGACTGCATGAACCCATTGCAGATAACAAATGGGTCATATACTCCCCTCTTAATGCTGCATCACCTTCTAGTCGATGCCGCATAAGCAGATGCAAGAGCATGCGCTATGCCGAACTGGTCCAACGCCAGCCGCTACATTGTGGGAGCTTCCATACGGACAGGGAACGGGTGCGACTAGCCACCAACAACATGGCATAGTGGCCACCCTCATAAAGTTATCAGCATTATTATTTACGTATCTTCTTTGTAACTTCAGGTCAGTCTGTGAATGTTGGCGTCCGTCGCTCGGGCGCCGCCGTCTTCCGAAACTTCGTAGCTCGAGCGCTAACCTTCGATTCGTCGACCTGCCAGTTGCAGTGGTCGACAATATTTGGCACGTATTTTATAAAATGTGTCTTTTGGTGTTGCTCATTTTGACCAGTGAAGCGTCCGCTTAGCAGACAACTCTTGGGCCGTCGCCTGCTCTGTGCAACGCCGGTCGGATGCCATTCAATGAGGGAGCCGCCGCATTCGGGGGATCTTATTTGCAAATAGATCAGTTATGGTGAAAGTGTGTTTTACTGTTTCCGCAGAACAAATGATAAGCCGGAAGCTACAACTCTGAATGTGGAGCATTGTGCCACTGTCGTCTGCCTGCCGCAGGTACTAACCAAGAGCTTGCCTACACCGTTCTGCGGCCCTCTCTTGGCTATCTCGTAGCACTCGTTGTCTTCTTCTTTCAGAACAAACAGTATACACTGATCTTCCTATCGCTCAACTTGGCGTGCTCCGTCTGCACTCCCATCTGGACCGGAGCAACTACTGCAGCCGTCCAGTGGCACCGCTCCATACCATTTCTGGACTTCACCTGAAAGCCTTGTACTGCTTGCTGTGTCATACGAGGAAAAGCGCGTATTCTGAGTGGAGACCACATAGAAGACTCCAAGTTCTAGAGTGCCTTCCTACATGCGGACTTCGTGTTGAAGATGCAACACAGCCGTAAGCAGGAGGGAAATTCGACGCAGACGTCAGAAATACAGACACAGATCTGTGTTGACCCCTCTGTGGCTCCGAATGTCACTGCCACCGCCGCTGGCGTGGAATCCACTGGGTCGTGCTCCAACTTCTCGCCAAGTGACGCTGCATCACTAACCGAGGGGACCCCACAGTGTCCAGCTAGTCGTGACTTCAATTCCGATGCTGGACAGAGAGGATCAAAGTCATACGTTCCATACGGGACTCAAGCTCACACATCATCAGCACCGAAGGCCAACGGTAGGAGTTCGCACGGCATGCAGACTTGCTTGGCCGATGCCAACAACAATTCTCTTCTCACTGAGGCTATGCAGGACCCTGGTACGGAAAGTGCAAATCCTGTAGCCGCTTTGAGGAAGTCCCAACACAACTGCTCATCAGCGGTATCCAGGCAGCCTCGTATACCGCTTGTAGGAAATCGGGCAACAGCAGATGCTTCAGCTGGGGACCTCCTTGCGCCGCCAGATGGACAGCTACAAGAAGGAGCTTCATCAATCGGAAGCGAGCTCAGGACCGTTTCATACTCAGCTCCTGCTGCTCCGGAGGCGAGAACCTCAGGGACAGATACACCAACGTCGCAGTCGAGTGTGGCTGCAGCAGTGCTACAGACAAACGCCTCACGCGAAGCGGAGTTGCATTGGCAAGGCCATCAACGTAACGCAGCATCCCCTGAATCCGCAAGTTCGCAAATGGCGAAAAGCGTATCTCCAGCGGGGGTAGTTCGCATCGGAGGCCGTAACCGCCGGAAACGGACAAAATATGACCTCGCATACAGACAAATGGAAGAGCTAGGCCCTTTTGAAGAAGAGGCGAAGTCTGTGGATTTGACGAAGGTCAGAGTGTTAACATGCGCTCTGTTCCCGTTTTAAGGCTTCATGCTGCAACACCAAAATTAGAAGTACTTCTACACCTAAGCTGCATCATATGTGTTTGGTGAACAGGTTTCTGGAAACAGCTTCGCTTTAGAGGTCCTGCGCAACCCTCAACAGTATTCATACAAAGCGTGGGAGAACGGGTTTGCTTGGCCTGTCGGAGCCGATGGCCGCCGCCTGTTGTTACGAAAGCTTCGAGGAGTCTTCTGGTCCAATCCGGAAAAGTGGCAGCGAGTTCTGCAAGAAAACAACCTTTACAGGAGAGATTTGTTCACGCTGGCTACAGTTCAGGTAAGCGTTTTTTGGGTGTGGCTGAAGTTTTGTGCTTTCTGGAGGTAGCAGGAGGTGTGGGTGAACTTGGCTGTAGACCATCAAATTTGGCAGAGCATATTTGTGTTCGCTTTCAAGGAACTATTCAAAGTAACGCATCTAATGGGCGCAGAAGCGTGGGACTTCCTTCTGAAGTGTACAGCCTTGACGCAGAAGTGCGACGCGCTCACCAGCAAGGATCTTGACACTGGACGGTGGGCAAGTTGTGAATTCAACAGCAATCGAGGCTCCTTTCAGAGAGTTCTTTGTTAGTAGTTTCGTGCTCCGTTTTCTGACCCGCCGAGCGATCAAAACACTGTCTGGGGAGGCTATGCATAGGTCGATTTAACTTGCTTGTGAGGCTGTGCCGCAGTGAAGATGAACCGGCAAGTATTAGCCCTCGTGGAGCAGGTAGGCATCACATGTCAAGCATGGATGCATGCAAGTCAGAAGATGGAGTAAATTCCCCACCGGACAAGATGCTTGGCACTGGTGTGCCGTCTTCAGCATTTTTGCGGAAAAGGGTACCTCAGGCTGTGCGAGCGGACAGGGATGTGAACAAGCGCAGCCGTGGCCGCCCTCGAAAGGTTCCAGTGAAGATTCAGAGAGTTGCGTCAGAAGCTGAAGATGCATCTGAGGTCTCACCAACCAGACATCTGCATACGGGCTTGTCAACACCTACCAGTGAGGCGTTTCGGTGGCTTCCCGAGGCAGAGTCTTCTCACTACGCAGAAGGGTGTCGTTCCTTATTTCATTCAGCAGTAGGCGACAAGGTGGAAAACACATCTGTACAGCCGGAGGAAGACAATAAAGCGGATGGAGGAACTGACTTACTCGAAGCAAGCATCAGTGAACAGAGGCGCTTGCTCGCTTCCTTTATGCGCACAGCACCTCCAGTTGTTTCCACCCATGATAGCTTCTGCTTACCAGCTACGGGAAAGGCTGCAACATCGGCCCCAGAACTGCGACTCACGCTCGGTGGAAAGCCCAGCAACAGTATGCTAATGCTATCGACCCATTATGCGTTTATGGCGCAGTTCATGCAATGTTGCATGCTTGTGGAAGTTCAAAGGTCCCTCTTGAAGATCGCCGAGGAATTCAAAACTCTCTGGCCCTCAGATAGAGATCTCCGAGAAAGTTCTTTCCAACCGGAAAGCGGAGGTATGGACCCAGCAGCACGAGCATGCTTTGATTCGCTTGTTCGCAGCAGCAACGTGCACATGCAGTTCGTACAGGTTATTGTGGAGCAGCTGCAGAACCAGGCCAGCGCCGATTCTATGCCATGCGCCTCTGAGAGGCAGCCTACACCCTTCAAGCTTAACGAACATTTCAGTGCTACAATTCAGCAGTTGCAGATTCAGCACATGAGGGATCGGTTGATGTTTGCTTCCCCTGAACAAGCACCAGCTATAGCAAGTGAAGTTATAGAAGCACTTCGGGATATGGCTGTGCACGTGGAGCAACGCCCGACTGCGCCGGCTGAGGGGTTAGAAACGGCGCGCAGAGCAGACGATGGAGGCCCACAGAGTATGTCAGCTGTTGCGAGCAGCTACAGAGCCTGACCTAGCTTAAATTGAGCAGATGTTTCGGTGGGAACGTGGACACAGGTTAATCTAAATGGATGGGCCACTCTGTGTTACCGAATATTTGTGTGTATGGACAAACGACGTTGATGCCAACCCAGTAGGAATTGGTATACTGCGGCACCAAAGCGGCATGCATGCAGAGGTATTCGGGTTTTGCCGCTTAACATATTGGCGCAGAATGCGTTTGCGACTTTGTGCATGCAGCTCGCCTAGATTAAGGCCATCAAGAGGGCATTCGTCCGATAATTTGAAAGGCTCATTCCTAGCATATTGACTTCGCATTGGGTGGAAGCTAGAGTGTGTGCACTCATGGTAGTTAGAAACCGGAAGTGGGAGAAGTATATAAACAATGAAATGCGGACTCCATTCACCCTTGTTTGTGTGGAATCAAAGGGCTGTCCGGGAGGCGAGGGTCCACCGTTTTGGCTATGCTATCACCCAGTGTCAGCTTCGCCTAAACGCGGGAGGCAGGGGCTAGACTTCAATTATTTTACGCCACCGTGAAGCCAGCACTTGGAGAGAAACACAAAGGTTTGTTGTTAGCCCTGAATGAAGATTCAAGGGTGAGGAGGGGCCAACTGGCCTTTCTGCATCTGAAGGAGATATCCAACCACCCTGGTGGCTTAGTACACTTCGACATGGACAGTGGAATTCATCGAAACAAGGCTTTGCTAGACTTTGCATATAAGCGACAGCTGATTAATTACGAGCGGAACCAAACAGGAGCTAAGAACAGTATTCTTGGCCAAGGTCCGGCGTCTGGGCGGCGGTAATGTCGTGTCCTCATTCCGCGAAGACCCTAATTGTGTTTCCGTTAAGATCGCCTTTGTCAAATTGTGCTGCATGCGCAAACAGCACCCTAATGGCGTCATCAATAGACAATTTGGCCGCTTGGTGGCCTATATTTGAAGTGAAAATCGCAATTTATTTGAAATTTGGCGTAGACAGTAGTAATCTGACTCCTTACCCACTGCTGTCTTCGCTGCTTCAGCAGAAGCAAATGCAATGCACACCCTGCCGGTGTGCTCTCCCTGCAGTGTTTGCCATAGAACAGCAGTACAACCGCTTCATTGCTAACCAGGACAAAATAATTATAGTACTACTCTGTTGCTTCCTAGCTACTGTAGCTCGAAGAACAAACGAGTGGAAACTGCAGCTGAATTCGCAAGGCATACCTTGCTGTTAAGCATTATATCAGTGCGTAGGACGGTCCCCATGCAGCTGAACGCTTCTTGAATTTCCACTGCTGGTAGATCCTTTGGAACCTGACTCACAAAGCCGTCCCACTGAGAAAGCAGGCGTCCCTAGGGACAGCTGGTGTTCCGTTTCGAGTTGAGGCAGCGTCCTATAAAGGACCTCTGCCGCTCAAATTCGGCACACTGCCGCAGATACACATATTCTAATCAAAGACTGAAACTTACGTTCGAAACAATCACATTGAACTCCTTTCTCTGGGCCAAGCATGCGCCAACGGAGCCGCCTGCAGGGGCGTCCGCTTCACGTATTGGCAACCCGCGCATCCCTGGGGTCGCGGAGGCAGGATCTGGCGCTGTTTGCCTGTTCCAAACGATTTCGGCGTCGTCAGAATGTCCGCGGCGTACGGGGGGTGGCACTAGCTCCTCTGGCGAGGCGCCGTAACCATGCCCATGCTCCCCTGCTGCATCTCTCCTATATGTCGGCTCGTAGTACTCAGTGGAAGGAGGACACCTAGGACCGTATCCGTAAGGCACCGGCTTTGGAACGGGACCGCTTGGATCGCTCAACAGCTGCGGGCTTCGCATAGACCCAAATGCCGGAAGACCTACTGAGTAACCCATCGGATCATGTGGCGAGTGGTGGCCGTTCTGGCCTTCCACCTCGTCGCCGTGCCGGGAACGCTTCCACATAGGTACTGAAGAGCCTAAGGTAGTCGCAGCACAAAGACTTTTGGAACTTCTGAATCAGAGCTTGCAGTGTGAATGAAGCAAGTGGCCTCTAAACAGGGATAGCACTGAGTAAAGGCGTGGACTGGATAATGCGCCGCCGGGCCCTCTAAGCACACAAAGCTGCTTGCCCACGAAACTGTACCCGGTGGCACAGCGTGAGGCTCTGTGTATGGTCCAACTACTGGCCGTATTTGAGTGTATTCAAGCTCGCCGGGGCCACTTGCCCTTGGCGGTAAGGGGAAGGGTCTTGGAGCTGCGGCACAAATCCACATGTCTTTTGCAAGGCGATAGCAACACTCCGCTTTTGAGTTGGCAGAACTGCAATCACAAATTTGTCGACGAAAAATTCTGAAAAAGAAATCGCATGGAACAGCTTCTCAAAAAAATGCATTCCTTACGTCCACCAGGAGCTCCTCCAATTGGCGGAGGCGGGGGGCGCACACCATTTGGCGCCACTAGGTATCCTCCGCCCAACGGCCTCGGCCTTGGCCACCGCGTGTCCGTTCTGGAATGACCGAGGGGTACTGGAAAAGGAGGTCTAGCCACAGCGTAGGGAGGAGGGGGGGGTAATCTGCCTGGGGGCCCCCGTACAAGAACAGGTACATGGCGCCCAGCTGGAGTAGGCCTAGAAGAGACGCTGTTAGCGGCTCCAGCGGCCGGGACAAAGGCAGCTGCTGGCCTTTCAGCATATTCAGTTTGTAGGGCTAGTGGAGCTCGATACAGTGGTGCATGCGTCGTGGGTGGTGGCAGAGAGGAAGAGCCTGTGACAGAAAAAATACACCTGCAGCGTAGGACTGCACGAAGAATCACAACGCAACGCGTGGAAATTTAGGGCATACATCTATGCAGATTTATCAGCAATGCACACGAGACTGCACCTGGCGGTCCACTCTTCGCTTTGCGCTTCTTAAGTTGACTTGAGCCGTCCTGCTGTTCTTGCCCGATTATCTCATCCAGGCTCATGTCTAGCCGCGCTGACACTTGTTCATCATATTCCATCGTGGAAAGACTCGCTGTTTGGCTGATGAATGAAATGAGGCAAATAGGCCCTAGCGAGCGCTATGTGCTGATGCCAATACAGTGTGCGCTCGTGCAGCACGGGAGTGCTGCGTTATGCCACATGCAACCGTGCCGCCTGTGCACCAGAGCCACGGTGCTGCTCATGGCAGCAGTTCTCCAGTGTTGAGCCGAACTTTGTTGCCTTCTAGTACGCAATGGACTGGTGAGTTAAAAGGAGGTTCGTCAGGGGTGCCGATAGTGGTGCCCTCGATAGTTGAATGGGGAAGGCTTTCGTAACCCAAGTGCCTCCACGCCGGGTGCAGGAGGATGGCTAGTGACCACTGCACGGCACGTGTGGCAAAAATGCAGAAACCGTCTCAGTCACTGGTTCCCCTTCACTCAGCGACAATTCATGCGGCACGACGACGACCTTTCCTCGGACGTGGCAAAAGCCGGGTTGTCCTAAACACTTCATATACTCACTAGGTTGGAAAAATATACAGCTGATGTAATTACATCATTTGAATGGTGCACAATTATCGTGCTGAAGGAAGTGGGGCGCCATTTTCTTGACAAGCTTGCATGCGCTGGGGGACCCAGTCGAAAGTGCCTAGACTCGGCACTACCAGTATTCCCGTTTCGCGTTTTCGTCAATCAAAGCAGGCCTGCCATTAATTCTATTTGGGGATGACGCCTTCCCTCATGCCTTCAGCTTTGACCCCGAAATGGAATTCCGTCAGCATTTTGCAGAGCAGCAGCAGCAGGTTGTCGCTCATGACTCCACAGCAGCGGACCACTACGAAGAAATCCAACCAAACGCAGCACCTAACTGGATAACAAGCTTGGAAGAGGAGCTAGACAAGAAAGTACTGGTCATTTTGCGCGATGGAAAGAACCTCATTGGTATGTTGCGGTCATTTGATCAATACGGCAACTTAATGCTGGAAGGCTGTGTCCAACGGATTGTTGTCAATACGTTTTACAATGATATATACCAGGGAGCGCTGATCATTCGGGGAGAAAATATCTTGCTTTTCGGGGCCGTTGATGAATCGAAGCCAAGCCGGCTCGAGTCTCGGCCACTGTGGGAAGTCTTGGAGATGAATGAGGAACTGGTATGAGATTTCAGTAATTCAGCCTATGCTATTTTAACATGTTTTAGCTCTAGAAGGATTCGCACCAAACTTAAGTGTCTACTGCCACGTCACACGTGTTAGCCGTCTATGTGCGGGAGTATTTCTCGACTGGCTAGTAGGCGCGTCCTGCAGGGTCCAGGGATCGGGGAATGTGCATGATTTTGTTTCGACGCACCGCATTATATTTCTGGGCACGCTTTCTTCAGGAAAAACGGGAAAACAGGAGACGGCGCAATCTGCGGCATTTGGGCGACTTCCTCTATGGCTATGATCTACCAGATGAGTGAAGAATCCCCATATGCGAGCTCAGGGACCCCGTAACAGCAGGAATATACCGCTGGCAGCTAAACATAGAACACGGCTGGCAGGTAAACATAGCACGCGGCTGCCCTCATGCTTTTGGGTGCGACGGAAGGCTGAGCCCCAACGCAGTGGCAGCTTGGTGAGTTTGTTGAACTTGGCTAGATTCAACAGTGTATGCAAAAGACCTACGTCAACAGTGATTTTTTTTTAATGTAAACGGCTTGTGAGTCGTTGGGTGTTGTGCTTGCTGCGACGAGCGTTCTTTTATTAGTTGATTGATTTCAAACCAAGGCTCACTTTGCGGCCTTCCATCCATTTGCCAACACTGCCCTTCTCCCTAGAGTGTCTGGGGACGCTGGGTGACAGGAACTGGCATGCAGCACATGGGACGGTGCATCCCGGTGCCATCGGGAGCCCCCCTCCAGCCCTTGGTGGCGCACTTATGGGTGTGAAGTTTTTTATTGAAAAAACAGATAACTCATTGCGGGTTGTTGATGAAGTGAGGTGGGTGTTTATTTTAACACATTCGGTATAAAAGCCACAACTAGTTCAGAGTCTAGCGATCAAGATGGTGGTGAAGGCTGACGACAAAACAGCACACAGCGTGTACTACTGTGATATTCAACCTATACAGGTAGGTTCTTCTTTGGGTAGTCTCGGCTTCAAGCGCTACACGAGTGCCTTTTCCTTATGAAACATGGAACTAATTTCTTGTGTAGAACACACTTGTTCGTGCTGGTGAACTGTGGCGGTTTGCCAGGTGCTCCACCTCTAAAGGCATCCCACCGCACGCAGCATACAGCAGTTATTTAATTGGGCTAAATAGTTCCGCTGGTCTCCTTTCGAGCAGCGTTTTACGGATTTGGCCTTCAAAGTGCTTTCAATCAAGGTGTACACTGGCGGCCGGAAAACCCATATTTGTACACGTCCGCAGTAGTGTAAATTGCTCTCCCTAGAAGAGCTATTAAATATCATCAGTTGTAGTTTTGTCTGCCCAAGAGTCCATCTAGGAGTCATGTGGGGCAATAAACTGTGCCTTCCATTACCCGTCGGAGCACACAGCCTATAGTGGTCTGCGACTGGATACCGAGTTTCGGAAAGACCTACGGCAGGCCTTAGCCGCCGCAGTTAGAATCAATCGAGACCCTAAATAGCAAGCAAATACCGTTGGAAGTGTTGCACCTACTGTATGTTTACTTCGGATTTCTGGCCAGGAGCCAAGGGTGTGACAGAAACTTGCACGTACGGGTTGGCAGGCCTGTTGGCTGCAGCGAGCATTTCACGTTGCATTGTTGTCATACGTTCTGTCCCAGCCTCTTGCATCGGTTGTTGTTGAGCTGCTTGGTCGGCAGCCGTGTATTCAGTCTGCTGCTGCTGTTGTTCTTGAGGCACTTGAGGAGGGGGAACCGCCATCTGAGGCTGCTGTGGGTATCCAGCCTGAGCGAGCACTTCAACGGTTCCTGCTGTACCCTCCGTAACATGGTCTACTCGCGGACCACACCAGGACGACATTGTGCAGCAAACACCGCCAGGTTGGAAGCTTCCCTTGAATTGTTCTTTGCTTCCTTGGTAGTACAGGGGGAGAAGCTGCGGGTTTCCCATAGCCTCCTTCGGCACTGGATGCTCAATCGTTCGCTGGACGTGCACAGGGACCGGGACTTCTTTGTAACGCGGTTCTATCTTAGGGCACAGATATTCTTGCACAATTTGAAGCTCAACAGGTACTGGGACGTTACGGTCAACGAGTTTCTCGACGGGGATTGGTCTGTAATGCGTCATGGGAACCTCGACCGGCTTGGGGATATGCCTGTACTGGGGAGTCATCACATTCCTGTACGTGTGCTGTATGTGAGGCACTTCGACGACCTTTTCCATTTCAAAGGGTCTCTGCACAACCTGTGTGTATGTTTTCTCAACAACTTCTTCTTGTTTGACCTCCTCTGTAACCTCAATAGGCTGCTCGAATGCCACATCGCGATATTCTACCTCAGGAATCTCAATCAACTTCTCCTTCACTACCTTTCGGGGAACGGGAATTACTCTCTCTTGCACTACAACGCGCGGCACTTCAATAATCTTCTCTTGGTACACGTATTGAGGCACTTCAACAATCTTGTCTACCACCTGCATGAACAAATGCAGGATGAATAAAAAAGCTTGAAACGTTTTGCCTGCGGAACAGCGAGCAGTATGTGAATAATTGGACACTGTGCAGGAGATGCCACACTTGCCTTTACTTGTGGGACTTCGACTATCTTCTCCTGGTAAACCACTTTCGGCACATGTGTGACGCGTTCCTGGATGACGGGTTTGGGGACGTGGGTAATCTTCTCGTGCACAACAGTTTGCGGAACTTCAACAATGCGGTCTACATATTGCACTTGAGGCACCTCGATGATGCGCTCCTCCACTTCATGCTTCAAGACTTCCACAATGCGCTCCTGAAGCAAAACAAAATATGGAGTGCTTCTATAAATATGGATTTACTGAAGGAACAACATTTCTACTGGAACAGAACGCCGGTCACATTCGTTTACCGGCACATCGCTTATGCAGTATGAATACTCACAGCTGTTACAGTCAAAAACTTCTGAAGGGAGAATTCATTAAACAAGAAAGTCGAGCGCACAATAACTGTCTGTAAAAGGTGGAACAGCTGCGGACAGATCTGCCTGCCGCCGGAGCAGCAGAGCTGGGTTCGCCAAATTTTGGAGAACAGGCTATACACGCCTACCTGAACAAGCGGCTCGAGGTATCTTGGTTCTCCTTGTTGGGCAATGGTACCCGAAACGAGGCGACTTCCAGGAGGCAACTGCCCTGGTTGCTGTTGCTGTTCAGCCTGCTCGCCTTCGCCGTCGCCAGGGCAGCATGGGGCACAGCACTCGCTGAAGGCCTTCATTTTGACATACAATCCACGTAGTGAACTGGTATTCAAGGATAAAAGTCTTGAGTATGATCCAAAATGCCGCGGGAAGGGTTGAATTCGCAGGCCAAAAATGCGAAGATTGTCGGAGGAAACTTCTGGTGACAACCAGCGGTCCGACTGGATGAGACCTGTCGGCACCAGCTGGAGGGATGGTCTAGCCCAACACAATCTTGCGTTGGTGAACAATATTTATATCGATATATTTTATAGTTGGTTTGAAGAAAAGAAAATCGTCAACTCATCAATGCAGAGGAGAGGTGTGAGAGCACAGGCAAGGTCAGTGACTGCAAGCAAACAGCCACAATAGAAGCAGAGGGAAAGCAGAATCGGTGGCGTCGATGAGCCCTTCGTCGGCAATAGATCGCCGTCAACAAGCTGCTGCAGTGGCAAGCTGTCGCTGCTGTGCAGGCCGATGCTGCTGGCGGGCCGTGGCCTACAGCAGCTCGAGAGCTCATCGGCTGCGGCAGGCTGTGCGTGGCGTGTCGGCAGCTGACTGCGCGCGCCATCCAGCCATAGAGTTTCTGGGAACTTTTTCGACCTACCTCTTCTTACTATTGAAAAATTTTCTGTACAACCTGCAACAACACCCTTTCTTTAGCCAATAAGCTTCATATTCCATCATTCGTGTCGAGCCCACCTGCCCCAGGGTCGCACGTGGCTCGATACCCAGGCAGCTGTAACTCCGAGTGTGCCCTCTGGATGAACAGAGCCTCAACTCCTTTTCCTTTAGTTTAACCAATCAATACAAAATGATCCCAGGCTGCAGCGATTGTTGCGCCCCTGGTGGGGAGGGCAATCAAGCACAGCAGCAGCAGCCGCAACCAGGCCAACGTCAAGCAGCCCAACTAAATGTCCCGTCAAATGCTCATCTCCACGCTACCGCAGAGTCTGTAAGATCTGTGACTCTTGAAGAAAGGACTGAAAGAGAAAGAGCTGTCCCCATTTCTGAGCAAACTGAACGCCAATGGGTAAGCTGTCCACGCAGCTGGGTCGATCGCCTGCACATGTGGTCCACACTGTGGGAGAAAATGGTGGAGCACTGTAAATTTCAACATAGCAATAAATTTGTAGATCTGTCTGAGATTAGGTTTAATCTCAGGAACACAACTAGCCGTCACTGTTGAGCAGCCCAATAAGTCAAGAGAAAACAGAATACTGGTGGAGCGTGCGATAGTCGCTACAACATAGGACAGCTTTTGCGAGCTATGTGAATTCCGCACCTTCACTGCGTTTCTTCTGTTCTTTCTGTCGTGAATCTTCAGGTCGCCATCACTGCATACCAGCCAGTTGACACCGTTGTCAAGACTGTAGAGGTCCCCGTCGTGAGGACAATCGAAACATACGTGCCGAAGGTAGTGGTGGAAGAGAAGATTGTGGAGGTTCCCAAGTTTGTACCCGAATACGTCGAAAAGGTAAACAACATTTCTAACTTGGTCCCATATGATGTTGATACAGTAATGTAGGCGTCTCTCTCGCAGTTACAAAAATACTTGGCAAACACAACCTCCGTTCAGGGTGAAAACATTGGCAATTTCACAGCAAAATTATTGTCTTGTGATTCATGCAGATTGTGGAAGTCCCTGAAGTCAAGGTAGTCGACAAGATCGTTGAGCTCCCACGCTATGAATACCAATACAAATACGTGCACAAGATTGAGACACAGGAGAACATCATTCAGCGGCCAAAATACGAGACCAAGTACGTGGAGAAAATTGTCGAAGTTCCTCAAGTCAAGGAAGTCGTTCGCTACCAGGATGTTGAAGAAGTTGAAGAGGTCATCCGGTAAGCGCAGAATTTCCAGCATTTGTACGAGCATTCAGAGCAAGTAAAAGGTGTTTCTTGTCCAACTGTTAGGTCTTTACTTGATGCTGTACATACAGGTACGTTCCAAAAGGACAGGTGGCAGAGGAGGAGTGGGAAAAGCTCAAGCAGAAACACGAAGAGGAGGTCAAGATAGAAAAAGAGGCAAGAGAAGCTCAGTATAAGGCTGAGCAAGAGTACCAGCAGTTAATCGCAGAGGAACAGGCTGCCTATGAAGCCAAACGCATGGGCCTGCCAAGTGTAGGAGCTGCACCTTTGCCTCCAGTAAGTTCTATGCAACGAGTGAGATCTGAGGGACACAACCAGCTGACGCATGCAGTTATTGTTTTGTTCCCGTTTTTACTAATTAATGTTGCTAGAATGCGTTTGGCTTTGATGGAATTACAGGCCCCCCGTTTGGAACAAGTCTTCAAGCCAAAGGTTGTGAAGACTGTCGAAATCCAAAAACACGTCCCGGTCTCCGTTGATGTTCCCGTGCCTTACATGGTGCCGAAGCCCATTGTCGTTCCAGTTCAGGTTCCGGTTCTCAAATTCAGGGACCACTTTGTTCCAGTTCCCGTGAGACGCCGTGTTGTTCCTCGCATCCGATGGACAAACGAAGTTTACGAGGTTGAGTGCATTAAAGAGAAGCCCTACCTTCAGGTCCAGGACATCATCAAGCCTGTACCATGCGATGTTGAAATCAAGGTGCACGAATTCGTAGAGAAAGCACAGCCAATCAATCCTGCGGAACTTTCACAGGCAGATGTTCATGCAATGTGGATGAGAGTCAACGCTGACTTGGCGGAGAAGAGAAAAGAAGAGCTGGGCGAAAAGTATCCGTATGTACAACACCCCGAAGGCACCGTATTTGGCGAGCCTGGCAGCAAGCGGACAGATGAAAGCGCAGAAGGAGCAGAAGTTAGCGACCCCGAGGCCCGTGAAGGAGTCGAGCCACTGGCATTGCACCCTGGGCATCCTCTTAACATGACATACCTTCAGAACGAATGGATCAAGAAAGAAACTACTGCAACTCACGAGATGTACACACCCGAGTGGTTCGAGGCTCACCAGAAGGCAATGCACAACTTGACGATGCAGTACCCGACGCAAGTTCAGCTGTCAGCAGAACAGGCTGCACGCCTCCAGCAAGACTCTCAGACATTCGGCGAGGCACCCTGGGTTGAAGTGGATGAGCATGGACTGCCGAAGCCGAAATCACAGAAAACCGAACAGACATCTAAAAGCTGCAGCGTCTGCTCAGCCTCATGCGGAGGAAGCGGCAGCTCATGCTGCACGTGTGGAGGCGACAACTAAGCAGGCAACTCATATAATTCACGCGGTTCCCTCCTTGCACAGCGTCAACATAGCACACATGGCCCAAATAGCGGCCCTACAGAGTAGCCCTACTGGAATGTTTGAGACTATCTCTTTAGTTAGCTGAGCCCCTCTTTCATTCAGATGCTTCGTGTATCTATGTACCTGTCGTAACACAATTACAGTCACTTCATAATTAGCTGCAACAAGGCCTTATACTTTCAACTGAGACCAAACATGCGGGGACTATTATAGCTAGGCTGTTACTGGCTAATGTTGGTGCAGCTGAAGTTCCCCCTACAGCTCTTTATGCACCGTGTGTCTCAGCTGCCTGTTGGCAGTCATTTGCGCATGAGGCGGGGGCGCCTTATTAGCGCTCTAGCGATTTACCTTCAGCGATTGCTGTGGGAAAAAACAACAGATTTGTGGTGCTTTCAAAAATTATATATAGGTGCGGCTTGTGATTCAACTTCTGGCGCGCCCAGTGGGCAACAGCGCAACTTAGGTGGCCGTGCACCTCTAATCAGAAAGGCATTAGTTGAAGTTTCCCGCAGCAAACAGGAAGATGCACATTTATTTAAGGTACTTGCACAACCCAGAAGTGTAGTACTGCCCAAAGGCCTCCTCTACCATTGCCTTTGTTAGTGATACGTCTTCGAGGGTATACTGGTGCTTTGACAACTTATTACGAGTCTTTTTATCTTCTTGGCAAAATTCAGCCATGCGCAAGCGTGCCTGCTCCGTCAGTGGAATTTTGAAGTGACTGTAAATCTTGGATACTGTGTCCAAGGGATTTTCTATCAATTCCTTGTACTGCACATCGAGTATTTGATCCTCTAGCTCGGGTCTTGAGGCACGGAAGTCTAGTGCTTGGTTAATCATCGATGACATTGCTTCCAGTTCAAGCTTTCCGAGCTCAGCAGGGTTAACGGAGTCAAGCAGCGACTGCTGGGCGCACCTAACCAAGCTCGCCCAGCTGGCTAAGGTGTCCTTTGGGTCCCTGCAAGCACAAAGCAAATACGCTGCAAATATGCTGTATAATTGTAATATGTAGGGGAACTGCAACAGCTAAAACCAGAGGCGGGGAAAAGATCTCTGAAACCCAGTCTTGCCTGTGCATAAAGATTATCCTCGCATCTGGGTAGGTTTCGAACAATGCGTCAAGAGTAAAGAGGTGGAATGGCATCTTCAGAAGCCACCGGTCTGCGACACGCTGGTACTGCAGATGCTGGAGGAAACGCTTGTGGAATCTGTAGGCATTTTTCATTTCCTGGAAGTCATTAGCATACAGCCATTTTCTGTAGGATGGCACGTTGAACTCAGTGCAAATCGAGTAGCATCGGCCACAGTGCTCCAGCATGACGAAGTCCTCCTCTGGAAGCTCAGCGCTTTGTGCATGGATGCTTATCCACTCTTCAGAGAGAGCCAATTGGCTGTCGAGCACCTCTTGAGCAAACTTAATCCTAGGATCCTGCATGACGTTATACAACAAGGGCAAGGTGTATGGTACGAGGTGGGAAGTGACGAAATGTACGCAAGGGCTACGTACGTGCAAGCGACGGTGGGTACTCGCAGATATAGGCTGCTGGTGTGACGCACATGCTTCCATGATTCGGGGTCGTTGCTCAGGCCTTTTTGGCAATAGTCACCATTGTTGCCGTATGGGGCAATCATTTCACAATAACGGGCCGACCGGTTGGATATGTCAGTTGCCATAATATTTTGAAGGAATGTTGTGCCTGTACGGTTTAAGCCAACAATTATTAGCGGCTCCTTTATCTCCTGCTGCTCAATTTCTGGGTGCTGGATTCTCATTTTTTCCATGTACATCAGGTTCATCAGCTGCTGGCGAACTGTGCGAAACATAGCCAACTTTCCACAAAACGATGGATTTGACTCCTGCAGAAGCGAGTCCTTCAAGATGTGCAAGGGCTGCATAAAGTAATCGTGGTCTGCGCCCAGTGAATCTAAACCCGACATCCTTTTTGCATCCTCCAAACATGCTTCAGGATCTACCCGAATCGCCTTCGAATTCTTCGGGAAAAACCCTGACTGCACACTGAAAAGGGAACAATGCGCAAAACCGACACACCTAAAACAGATGTATTGCAGAAAAAGGCTGCACTAGTGGGGTTGATAAACAGAAGGCGGCAAATGGGTGTATACCTGTAGAGCAGGGAGTTTTTGAAGACATCTCTCTGATCTGGCCATTTTGCGTTCGGCAGTTCCTCGAAAATATTCTTGTTTTCTATCGGAAAATCGTCAGTACGTTGCTCTGAATCAAACCAATACTTCCTCATGAACTGCATGAGCGGCACAAATTTGAAAACCGGAGATTCAGGTCCACGGGCTTTGACTGCAGCCAGGAACTCGTCAACGTTGGCACCTTTATACGCCAACCCAAGCTCTTGACTCCATATCTCCAGATGTTCCCTGATGACGTAAATAGGCATACGGAATAAATGTCAACTGCGCGGAGTCTAACCCAAATTCCATTTACAGCTTTTCCCCCCCTGTATGAATATCGTAACACCTCGAAGCTCACCTTGTTATTGCGCGAGGATCAAATAGATGATAGATGAAATGCTTGGGCTTTTCCAAAAATGATACACCAACCTGCAGTGCCCCATGCACAACCCCCGTAGGACCTCTCATGAATGGATATATAGTGGCCAATGCCTTTCTTACCTACTTGTTGCGTAATACACGGAATTGCTTACCAGCATTTCACATATTATGTCGACTGGTGTGAGCGGAGCAGCGGCACATCCTACTGGGAAAATTCCCTCTTGAATCGTCGACACCATGAGTGCAGTCGCATAGTCGGTTCGGTTCGTGTAGCCCGTAGAGTAGGCAACATATGTATTGGGCAAGCGATATATAAAGACAGGCAATCCCTTATCCCTTGCGCCGCATAAGACCAATTCAGCTGCCCACTTCGACCAAGGGTACCCCATTCGGAGGGGAGGATAAAATGCGTCCATTTCCTGTACCGTAGGCCGGCTGTCTTCCGTGATACGATAGTCCTGGTATGCCCCAGTGAATTCGCAAAAGAACGCTGGAAACTGACCGAGAGTAGACGCAAAGTGCAGCGGTTTCAATCTGTGTCTTGTGCAAAAGTTGACTATCCCTAAAATACAGAGCACGTTTGACGAGCGTAGCCGGGCGTAGTTGCTGAGTAGATTAACATCCCCTCCCGTGTGGTAAACAACATCAACCGTTTTGGAAAGTTCCTCTAGCTGCTCTTCTTCAAGACCTAAGTTTGGGAGGGTGAAATCCCCAGGAAGGGGACGAATGCGGCTGCAATACTCTTCTTTCCAGCACTTGGCTTCTTTGCATGCTTGCCTGATCCGATCAAGAGCGTGGTTCGCATCTTTGGCACGGACTATGCACACCACCTCCAAGTCTTTGGTTGCTTCCAGAAGTACAGAAAGCTGGATCCGTCCAACAAAGCCAGTGGCTCCAGTCAGCAGAGCAATTCGGTAGTTACAAGGCAAAGTAGGCGGCTCAACATTATGAACGTCTATGGTCAGTTGGCCTATCAATGACTCAACATCTTCTTTTGGGTGAGGTACCCTGACTGCCAGGCGAGGCTTCCTTCTGACTGCAGCGGTTGCTTCAGCACGGCTAGCATAGGCGTCTCGAAGTTCCTCCCAGGCGACATTTAACCGGTCAAAGTCCTCCGAAACAGAAATTCCCAGCTTCTCTAAAGCGCTCATAATGTCTTCGACGGCGGCCATCTCTGTCAGGGACCCGTATGACGCAGTTAATGAGTCTACATACAGGGCATATCGTTCTGCTGGGACGAGTACGGACATCAACCACTGGTCGATTGTCATTTGCAGTGTGTCCACCAGTGTCCCTTTTGTACTAGAAGTGCCATCAGGTGATTTAGCTCTGTTGAGGATATACTCAGCAATGTCTTCGACGCTAGGATTCTCGAACATAAGATTCTGAGGGAGCTTAACTCCAGTTTTCTCGGCAACGGAATTCCGGAATTCCACCGCACCAAGGGAATCAAGACCAAGGTCAATAAGCGGGGTCGCAGCATTTGGCTTTTCAGCTGATCCAGAAACTGCTTGTGCAACATCTACCAGAATTTCGACTAGTGCCTCCTTGCTGATGGAACTGAGATCAATTGCTGTGCTAAAGGTGGCTGCTGTGACAGTTGAAACATCGGAGAAGAACGGTGGTGGGTCGAAAGCGTATCTCCTCAGGAATTTGCGCCACATCAATGCTTGGGCACAGACAACTGCTTGTTGTGGACTCTTTAACACGTCCAAGAGCACCCTCGTCCCCAATTCATTGCTTATTCCCATCATTCCAGCCTTGTCAATGTGCTGCCGCAACCCAGCTGCCATGCCTTGCTCCACCCACGGACCCCATTGAATGCTCTGTCCACACAACCCTATAGATCGGCGCCACGATGCAAGGGAATCTAGGCAGGAATTGGCCGCCGCATAGTTTGCCTGGCCAAAGTTCCCCAGAAGCGCAGCAACTGAAGAGAACATTAAAAAGACTTCAAGGTCCTTATTCAAGTCCAACTCATCGCACACCTCATGCAAATTCCAAG